CTGCACAAACAACCGAATTGTAATAATCTGACTACGAATAACCATATATATGGTAATCGTTGATTGTAAGATTAATAGTCTCACCATAATCTAGCTGCAAATAGCCATAATTGAACTTTAGCATCGAATTGTCATAAGAATAATGTTGTCGATTGATTGTAGAAATAACCAAATCGTTGTAGTTTGGTTGTGAATAGTCATAATTGGACACTGGCATTGAATTGCCACAAGAATGATGATATCGATCGATTGTAGGATTAATCGAACGTTGTCTCACTGAAAATAATAATATCTGAGTGTTAACTTTAGGAAGTCATTAGAATACAGTTGTAGAACATTACATAGATAAGAAAAACGAAGGTAATCTTTCGTATTGTTAAAATAAACATAAAAAAAATCGCACTACAAGGTGACCAAAATATCTTATTTTTGTAGCGAAGGAAAGTACTTCAAGCGCTCAGTGTTAAAAACAAAATTCGATATTTGTAGATTTTTCTTGATGATTCGATGTGACCGACCGATTTGTAATTTAGATATGCACAATCTGCAAAATCAATTTGATTTTTGTGTTTACCACATTCAAATTTTTTCTCCAAAATATCAAATCACTCACACATATTTATATTATATCATAAAATTATTTCAATTCAATTTTTTTTTTTTTTAATATTTAAATCTTAAATCTAAAATTCGAATCCTTAACCAAAAACACAACAAACACAACACACTACTTATAAAAGAACAAACCAATAACTATAATTAATTATAAAATTATTTAAAATTAATATTATTAAATATGTTAATAAAAAATCATAAAATAATAAAGTACTTATTACATATTTTGAATGATGAAATAATAATTAAATATTATACGAATATTATTTAATTTTTTTTATTTTAACATGTAATTATTTATATTATATAATAATTATTTTTATTAATATATTTTTAATTATTTACTAATTATGTATTTTTTAAATTTTCATAACTATAATTATACAAACACTTTTAGCGGGACGAAGGAAATATATAATATTATTTTTTAAACTTTTAAAAAAATAATAGTTACATTTCATAAAAAAAATAATATTAAAAGACAAACAAATAAGATTATATTAATATATGAGATTTTGGTATCCAATCAATCATGATGATTTGTATTTGAGAGTGGCCAAATCAGATATTTGCACTAATAATTTCAGAGTACATAATACAAAATAAATAAATCAAGAATATATAAAAGTGTGGATTAAATCGTAATATAACTGAAAGCCACTGAACTATTAATCGAGTAGCGAGACTCCATACATTTTAGCGAAGCGGTAAAAAATACAAATCTAGCTTGAACTTAATTATAGTCAATATATTACTGACAACACGTTAAATATAAGCCCGTAGGTAGTAGATGAAGTATAAATGGATAATATCAAATATGTATATATATATATTAATGAATATAACAGTAGTCTACGTAGTATACAATTGATCTCAAAACATAAGATATATTAACACAACAGTATGAAATAAAATAGACAATATATAGTAACAATCTATACAATACGTATTATATTAATTCAAGTCGTGTACTATTAGACTATATTTCATGTGTTGATCAGTATCATGCCGATTAACTATAATTAGCTCCTTGTAAGCATTCCCAATTCATTGCCGCGTGTTTTCTAATTTATTTAAGGGTGTGTTTATTTGTGGAATTTTGGTTTTGAATTTTGAAATTTTTGAACTGAAATAGTTATTTGATGTGATATAAATATATTATGATATTTTGAATGTAAAAGTAAATTTTAAAGTGATATAATAAATTAAAAATAGGAGTTTAATTTTATATTTTTGGACGTAAAAAAATAAATTTAATGGTAAAAATCTCACAAATAAATACACTCATGTGTTTAGATTGGAATTTAGATATTTTTACAAAAATAGATGATTAAGATATCTCCAATTCATTACTCTATTTATTTTCGCAGCAGTAAAAATGCAGATCTTCAGTAATTTTACTTCAACTATATACTTCAATTTTTATTTTAAAAAGTTTATTTCCTATATATGTAATTATTATATTATTTTACATAATTTTTCATATTTATAAATTACACCCAAATTTTAATCTGTTTTTATATTATCACCCAAAAATATATAATTTATAATTTATAAAATAATTATTTTCAAAATAAAAAATTACACATTGTTTTTACAAAGTAAAATTACACGTTATTCTTTTAAAAAATAAAATTACATATCACTTTTCAAAAATTAAAATTATATCACTTTTTTTACAAAAATAAAATTACACATTATTTAAAAAAATAAAATTATATATCACTTTAAAAAATAAAATTGTCCATTATTTTTCAAAAAAACAATTAAATATCACTTTCTAAAAAATAAAATTATATATCACTTTAAAAATAAAATTATCCATTATTTTTTTAAAAAAATAAAATTATATATTATTTTTCCAAAAAAAAAAAAATAAAATTACATAATTCCCCCATAAAATAACAAAATACACAAAATACCCCACTCAAAAAATAATGTAAACTCGAAAAATGGAGGAAGGGATTTGAGATTGCATTGGAGCCTCAATCCCCAATTTTGCCCAACCCACTATTTTAAAATATATAATTAAGAATAGTTAAAATACACATTTTATTTTATTTTTTAATTTTCTATATATTATATCATAAATTTAATACTCCATTCGTCTCAAACACTCTGCAATATTTTCTTTTTTGGTATGTCCCAAACACCCTGCAATATTTCTAAAATAGGAAATAATTAATTATACTTAATTTCCACCCCACACTTTATCCCTTCACATCATCCAAATAAAAAAATAAAATATATATTTCTCTCTCCATCGTATCATCTAATTTCTAAATTATCATACTTAATACTATCCACCTAAAAATCTGTACCAAAAACAAATATTGCACCTTGTTTGGAACGGAGGGAGTATTAATTAGATATATATCACCCACACTCAATTTTCAACTTAAATTAAAAGTAACAACTAGACACCTTATATTCAAAACAGTTAATTAAAACAAATAAATACACAAGTAACTATCATATTGGATCCACATTACAGCCATTCCATTTTATTATTATTATTATTTTTTTTTCACGTGAAACTCGCAGCTGATACTACTCTTTCAGTACGCTAAATCATTAGCCGGAGTTAGAAAATTAGCTTTTGCACATATAAACTACTATCTCATCTTAATCTAATACTCCCTTTGTCATGTTCATTTATTTTTTGCACGTAGTTTTAGAAATATTAGTATTATATTGAGATATAGTAGGAATAAAATAGAAATGACTAAAATAATTTTATTAGTACGTGTGATATAAATGTAATGCATTTGTGTAATATATTGTAGGTTGTAAGTACATTTGTAAGGTTAGATAGATAGTACAATTACTAAAAAAAAAGAAAATAAAAAATGAATACTTTGTTATGGGACGAAACTAAAATGAAAAAATAGATACTTTATAATGAGACGGAGGAAGTATGTTATTTTTTTACTATTTTTGTTTATTTCATTATATATATATATTTTTCTATTATAATAAAAATAATCAATATACAAATATCAAAATATCACTAAATTTTACAAAAGTATCGTTTTTTTTTTGTACTTTCAAAAACAAAAATATCAACACCATCTTTACACATTTTTACTAATTAATAAAATATTATTATTTTTTAATTAAAAAAAATACTTTCCATTAGTACGGAAGAAATATATACAAATACATATATATATGTATGTGTTTGTGTGTGATAATATAAGACAATACTTCATTTGTTCCCATCTAAAAGGGTTATTTGAAATTTTGTAATATATTAAGAAATAATAGTATTTTATCAGTTAGTAGTGTTGTGTAACTTCCCATGTCGCACATCGGAAGTAGATAAAAAGGTAAGGACATTGACTCCTATAACTTGACTCATTTGGGTCCTATTTTAAAACAGGACAACAAATCTTTTTCTTTAGTAACTAGAAAAAGTGAAATTGAGATTTGTGAGTTGTTGTGAGAAGAGTTTTGCAATTTTGTCCGTACAAAAATTGTAATAAATATTTTAGTGGATTATCTCATTTTGGGGTTGTGGATGTAGGTTTGTTGTGAGACCGAACAACGTCAAATTCCCGTGTCTTGTTATTTTGTTTTTTCTCTCTTCCCTTGTGTGTTCCCACCAAGTGGTATCAGAGCGAGGTCATTTTTGAGCGAGGTCTTGGCAAAGGGGGGAGAGAGAAGGAGCAAGAGGTGTTTCGAGAGAAGTTGACGGCACGCCAGTAGTCAGGTTGCAGTTCCGCAGCGGGTTCCGGCAACACACCAGATTTCTGCCAAAAAGGTCTCATATGCCTGATTTGAGTTCCTGGCTTTAATTTTTAGCCTCAGTTTATTTGGGTGTTGGAAGTGCTTGTTTATTGGAGAGTTATTAAGCACTATGTCCACTACTTTGAAAGATGAGGTTCCGCTCTTTGATGGAAAGAGTGATTTTACTATGTGGCAAAGCACAATTCAAGACTATTTGGTGCAACAAGGTCTTGATGTTGTCTTTGAAGATGCAAAGCCTGAAGGTATGAAAGAAGGTGATTGAAGTATGATTCGGAAAAAAGCTATTAGCAAGATTCGATTGGCACTCACCCCGCAGATAAAGGTTACCGTGTTGACGGAAACATTGCCGAAGAAGTTGTGGGATACTTTGAATAGTAAATTTGCCACGAAGACGTTGACTAACTGCCTGATTATGAAAATAGATCTATACTCTTTGAAGATGGAGGAATGAGGTAATATGATTGACCATACTAACAAGTTTAATGAGTTAGTATGTCGACTGTTGAATGCAGGAGAGGAAATTAAAGAGGAAGATATGTCGACTGTTGAATGCAGAAGAGGAAATTAAAGAGGAAGAGCAAGCATTGCTCTTGTTAGCTTCTTTGCCCAAATCCTACAAGCAGTTGTTGCAATAAATGTTAGTTGGAAAAACTACATTGAAATTGAATGAGACGATAACGGTTTTGAAAGAGAATGACAAGATAATGGGAAATGAAGGCGCTTCAAAGGAAAGTCAACTACTAGCTGTGGGGAGTTCTGAAAGAGGGAGGAAAATGAAGAGTGACCGTGGTGGAAGATCGAAATCTCGGTCGAGAGATTACAGCTCTGTTGAATGTCATTATTGTAGAGAGCTTGGTCACATTCAAAATTACTGTCGACTTTTTAAAGAAGACTTGAGAATCCTGAAAAATTTGAAGGGTAAGTCGAAAGTTGAGAACTCCGCGAACGTGGTCAATTATGAAGGTGATTTACTTCTTTTAAATACAAATCCTGTTGAGAATTCTAATTGGGTGATGGATTCTGCTGCCGATGTCCATAAATGTAAAGATCAAGCTTTATTTGATACTTTGCATACAAAGAGAGATTTTGGCTATATCAATGTGGGGAATAAGATGAAATAGCGAATTGAAGACATTGAAAGAGTTCGCTTGAAGCTCCACAATGGTAATGTCAAAATAATTTTTAATGTGAGGTATGTGCCTACTATTGGAGCTAATGTTATTTTATTGGGCGAGTTGGCTTCACATGGGCATAGATATGTTGACACTAAAAATCTATGCAAAGTATACAAGGGTGACAACTTGATTATGCAAGGGAGGAAGAAACAAAACATCACCTATTATCTAGATGGATGCACCTTGCGAGCAAATGTGGAGAACAACAATGATAATCAGAAAATCGAGAAAAGAGTTCATTTTTCTGACATGGTCGAAGAGACTATGGGAAGAGGGAGGATTTGTTGTATAACTTCCATGTCCCACATCGGAAGTAGATAAAAAGATAGGGGCATTGGCTTCTATAAATTGACCCATTAGGGTCCTATTTTAAGACAGGACAACAAACATTTTTCTTTAGTAACTATAGAGAGTGAAATTGAGATTGGTGAGTTGTTGTGAAGAGGGTTTTGCAATTTTGTCCGTGCAAAAATTGTAATAAATATTTTAGTGGATTATCCTGTTTTGGGATCGTGAATGTAGGTCTATTGTGAGACTGAACCATGTTAAATTCTCGTGTCTTTTTTTTTTGTTTTTTTTCTCTTCCTTTGTGTGTTCCCAACAAATAGAAGTACGTAAGAAGTTTCGACTTTTTTGCCATTTGATTTTATGTATAAAATACTTATATATATGTAATGGTATGTTTGTAATTTAAATAAAAGTTAATAATATTTTGGTATTAATATATAATTATTTTTTAAAAAAATAAGAAAAAAAATAAATTTGAGTAGGACAAACAAAAATGGTATAAAATTGAGTTTGTTTATGAGGTGTAATATGCTAGTACAATGATAACAAACAAAATCGTTATACTTTATAATAAAAATATATTAAAATTATAATATCAAACTATTATTCATACACTAAAACTCAAATAAAAACTTTTAATTGATACTGAAACCAAACATAACCTTTAGTCTTCACATAGATCAATTCTATTAGAACTTCACTTATTCATGCATATAAAAATCATTTTCCACATGTTCACAGTGTAGCTAATTTATATGATATAATTTGTTATATATTGATATATAGCTTAAAGAATTTTAATAAATAAATAAGCAATCATTGTTCACAAAGTTCCTATAAAACCCCAAGTTTTGGGAGATTTAAGAAACATTAAAATCAAACAACCTATTCGAGCAAAAACCATAATCTTGATCATAACCATTTCAAGATAATATGGAAATTAGCAAACCCTATAGCCAAAATTTCCCTCAACTTTCATGTTTGTTATCTTTAGCTTTAGTCATAATCTTTTACAAATGTCGATTAATCTTCAAGAACAAGAGATCTAGATCTCTTCTTCTTCCTCTTCCGCCGGGGCCGACAGGTTTTCCGATCATCGGTTGCCTTCCAACCATGGTCAAGAATAACATACCGACATTTCAATGGATGCACAAATTCATGCGAAAAATGCGAACCGAAATCGCTTGTTTCCATCTCGGAAACACCTATTTCATTGCGGTTACATCCCCCGAGCTAGCTTGCGAGTTCTTGAAAAAGCACGACGCAATTTTTGCGTCAAGACCTAAGGTGATGTCTTCGGGATTGTTCAACAAAGGCTACACATCAACAACCTTTTCGCCATTAGACAACCAATGGAAGAAGATGAAGAAGGTTCTTGTAACAGAAGTGCTCTCGTCTTCGATGCACAAAAAGTTTCACGAAAAAAGGCGCAAAGAAGCTGATAGATTAGTATGGTATGTTCATAGACAATGCTCGAATGAACTCAATGATGGGATTGTCGATGTAAGATCCATAGCCCAACATTATTGCGCCGGTGTCATCAAGAGATATATTTTCAATAAGAGGTCTTTTGGAAAGGAAAAGAAAGATGGAAGCCTGGCAATCGAAGACGTAGAACACATGGAGGCAATCTTCACAGTCTTATTTCATCTCTATGGATTTGCAATTGCTGATTTTTGTCCATGGTTAGAGGTGTTTGATTTCGATGGGGTTAAGAAGATTATGACAAATGCTATTGCCATTTTCAATAAATATCACGACTGTGAAATTAATCGAAGAGTCGAAATGTGGAAGAAAGGGATTGCAAGTAACGAAGAGGATAACATTCTTGACGTATTGATCAACCTCAAGGACTCGGAAAACAATCCCTTGTTGACAATACAAGAGATCAAAGCACACATTGATGTAAGTACTGAAAGTGATTAATTCCTTAATGATGTATTTTCAATTTTTGTTTGAATTATTGAGAGAATTTGAGAAATCATATATTGATAATTTAATTTTTAGAAATTAAATATTTTATATCTTTTCAAAATTGAATTTTGAACTGCGCCATGGTTTTTTTTTTTTATTTTTTTATTATTATGACAGCTACCCATCAAGTGTGTTCTAAATAAACACTCGGTCAAAAATAATGGGTTTTCTTTTTAATTACTCACCGCTATCCACCGGGTGCGCTCTGAATAAATCTTGACCGAAATATATGGATTTTTGTATTAGCTGTTGGCGGGGCTATAGGCTTGGAGGAATGGAGAAATCTATGAAAATAACTATTGAAGGGATAAACTTCATCATATATATTATTTTCTAAAATAGGTTGGTATCTTAAATTAAGAATTTTCTTACTGAGCGACTTGAATTGTAACTAAGGATTTTTTTTTTTTTTTTTAAACAAATTGGAGCACTACTAGCTGTAGATTATTGATAACTTTTCAACTTAGCTTTACTTTCTTCCTTCTAATTTGTGTTTTGATTTATTTATAACATATTTTGGTCGATTTTGTAAATGACCTTATTTCAATCCATAGTCATTAATAAATCAAATAATACTTGTTAGACGAAGTAAATGATCCATTCACCAAAAAGCTCAAACTGTTAGAGATACACATCATTTATCTATTTATCTACAAACGGGAGTAAGTCAACCAACAACACTTTTATGTTTCCATTATTGTATTTCATTGTCACACTTAATATAACCTTGTTTTTTTTCCTAACAAATTTAAAGATATCTAATTATCGGTTGTGAAAATGCAGGACATAATGTTAGCTACGATCGACAATCCATCAAATGCGGTCGAGTGGAGTCTTGCAGAGATGATCAATCAACCAAAAATCCTCGACAAGGCGCACCAAGAGCTGGACTGCATAGTCGGTAGGGATAGACTTGTCGAAGAATCGGATCTCCCTAAGCTCAACTACATCAAAGCATGTGCTAAAGAGTCATTCCGGTTGCACCCTATAGCCCATTTCAATCTTCCTCACGAATCATCGAAGGATGTTGTCATTGGAGGCTATTTTATCCCGAAAGGCAGCCAAGTGTTACTTAGCCGTCGTGGCCTTGGGCGCAACCCTAGAGTTTGGGAAGAACCACTCAAGTACAAACCGGAGCGCCACATCACCGGAAATGGGGACACCGGCGAGGTCATGCTCTCCGACCATGAATTAAGGATGTTCTCGTTTAGTACAGGTCGGCGCAGCTGTCCCGGGATCATGCTTGGCTCTACTTTAACAACCATGCTTCTGGCCAGGCTTATCCAAGGGTTCCATTGGAAGGCGCCACCAAATGGGCCGGCAACAATCGATTTAGGCTCGCCGGAGGATGATAATTCTCTAATGAAGAAGCCACTTCTTGCTCATGCGACGCTGAGGTTAGAACCACAAGTTTATCTTCAGCTCCATTCTTGAGTAATAACGTCGCATCAATGGGTTGGGTACAGCCGGCCCTGGGCCGGGCGAGAGGCCCAATATAAATAAGAAGTCCGTTATATATTTATATATATATACATAATTTTTATTCATAGGAGTTATTTGATATATGTAAAATAGTAGATGATGACTCGTGATGTAGGGATAAACTTGTGATTGAGTATTTGTCTATTGGATGATCAAAAATAAATTTTATGTCTCTTGAGAATGTCTTTTGGCCAATTTTCATACTCTTGATTGTGTTTTTACTCGATGATTGCATTTTTATTTTTTCATTAAGTCATCTATTTATAAGGATTGTAATCCATTTAAAAAAAATACCCACTCTTTACACTAATCACTCACCAATGACTATCTTGATTATTCAAAAAGACACAAATGTTAATTCACCAAAATTTATATTAATTCAAGTTTAGTTTCCAACGTGTCGAGTTTTGGGCGGTAATGTGTTTTGAGGCTCGTGTATTTTAAAACACAATTGAGAAGCCGTGGCTCAGTTCTTTGTCCCAGTCCACTAACCGATTAATTCTCGAGTTCAAATATGAGCCATTGGATGAAGGGATTTGCTTCTAACCGTTGGATCTTGGCTTGGGGTGTGATATGATATATATAATGCCGCTGCTCCTTTTCATTATTCAAGTTGATATTCAGTTTATACGGTTCGCGATTCTCTCTCTACTCGTCAATTTCTTCCTCTCGGTTCTGTGTGCGATCGATTGAGGATATTGTGGTGGGGTTTTCCTCTAGATTAGTTCGAGAGTATTTTCTAGTGTATTGTTAGGGTGTGTTCGTGTAAAGGATTTTGGCAAAATCCTACTATTCATCCAATTTTTTTCTCTAAAAAATATCAAATCAAATACCTATTTTTTGTATTTTATATTATACTAAAAATTAATTTTACATTCAAAACATCATATCAACACTTATTTATTACACATTATACAACTATTACCATTCAATTTTTTTACTATTCACTCAACTCAAAATCCAAACCCCCAAACAAACACACCCTTAAGTGATTGGTGAAAATTTCTTCTTGTACAAGTGAGATTGACTGTGGAAATGATTGTTGTTAGAATTTGATCTGTGGCTATTTTTAATAGTAGCTGTTCTTAAGCCGAGCTGGTGCCTGTGTTTCCTTTCCACACTCCCGATATTCATTCTAAAGTTGTGCCAGAGGCTGAGCCATAGTGGATACCCAACTTAATTAGATGATAGAATTAGAACTCTTAAAACCTACTCTGTTTCTTGATTCTAGTATTAGTTATCAAACCATGGATGTTATTAATTATTTGACAATTTAGTTGCCCATAAAACTTTGTAAGAAAAAATTACTAGTCAATTGTTTGTTACAGTGTAAACAGTATGTTAATGTTATGCGATTGCAAGTGCATGCTTCAAGCCTTCAACTTGTCGAATTCTTGGCCAGACTGGTCATCGACCATCTTTCCAATTCGATTTTTTAGCCATTGGATGTTCCAATTTGATTTATGTAGCTCCTAAAATCTTAACTATATCCAACTGTTTCAGCTGCTGCTGCTTATGAGATGATTGTGTTTGGTATTAATTGATAATTACTGTGATAGAGCCTGCATCCAATTATAGGTATATATATATTGCTTCGGTTGCTGTGTTGATTGGGTCAAATCCGTTGATCCAATTAGGAAAATATCAAATATCAATATATAATATAACATATATTTAAATAGCACATTATAAAATTATATAAACAAATTATATCCTAATTTTAGAAAAATGTATTTTGATTTTATCACAATAGTAATTTGATCTAATTAGCAAGTTTCTATATAAAAAAAAAAAAATAGCAAATCATCACATAATATATAGCATATTATATAACATAATATATGCTATCTGCCTTATGACAATTTGTTAATTATTTCAAGTTAATGTATTAACTTAGTGATATGCTATGTATTGTGTAATGATTTACTAATTCCTTCGTGTTAGTTTGCTGATTTGGTCAAATCAACATGTGATGTATATATATATATATATGTGTTCATGGAAAGTTGAAGTTGGTCTTAGCTTCCTTCTATACATCAGAAGGGTGGGTAATTTTGTTGTAACAATCTTTCGATAATTTATTAAGTTAATTGAGCCTGGTATGGTATCTTCTTCTATCTATAACTTAAAAGACAAGTCCTGTAAGAGATGACCTAATGGTGTGGAGAGTGAACTTGTGACCATGACGTCATGGGTTTAAACCCCGACGCCTTCAGGTCTACCTGCCACACATGGTTCGCCTAGTGTGACTTGCCTTGTCGGGTCTAGTTTGCACGGTATTAGATTCGGCCGGAGGATAGAAAAAAAGAAAAACACCATTTATAAGTCCCAAGATTTCATTTGATGAGAGTATTTTGTGAATTGAGTTTAGTTTCCTGCTTGCTCTGTGCTAGAAATCAAATGAAGTGAAATGAATTGAGTTTGATTTAGTTTAGTTTAGTTTCTGAAACACATCTTCCTCATAAATTCAAGATTTTTTCTTACAGCCATGTCCGTCCCGTCGAATGCTAGCAGGCAGTGTCAGAATTAGCTGGAGGAGGAATCAATCTCATGGCACAGGTGAGCGAGCTGAGCTGCTTTATTGAATCCAAATTCGGTATTTTTTTTTGGGATGAAGGCCTCTTCTTCTTCTCTTGCAGTTGCTCCTATTTATTTTGGCGCAATCATATCTTATCAATATCAAATCAGTATTAAGCTGGATGAATGTCATTTTTGGACTCGCCGTTGAGGCCACAACCCCTAAGTCGTGGGCTGCGACGTATTAGGCCTTTTCTTTAATGCGTTGGGCTATCGTCAACATCACTTGACATCTACTTAATGCGCTTGGGCCTTGCTTGATGCTGTTGGGCTTGCTCGATGTGGCTGGACCTCACCCGGGCTTTGTCATATAAGGCTTCAGTGATCCGAGACTTTTTGAGGCGACGGTAACAAATGCCCCTCTAAAAAATTTCGAATGAACTGAATTTCTCAATAACATCCAAAATTTTTATGAGGATTGGTGTTGCTAGATCCTCTATATGGTTGCCTGTCACTTCGAAGAACTTATAGTTTTAGCCGTTGGTCGGGCTTAGTTTGCACCTCAAAATTTCAGATTGTTACGCCATCTCCAAAGCAAATTTCAACTCTTGTAGCATCATCGACGACAGGAGATATTCAGAAGGTCGTGCGATGCTGCCCTCACTGTCGGAGAACACAGCAAAAATGGCTTCTTTCGTCGTGATGGACACTTACAGAAGTTGCGGCTGATTGCTGAGGGGCTAGGGATTCCCTCACAGATAATCCAACCACATTGATCGTAGAATCGACTAAATATTGCAAGGCTCCCACCATAGCGAGCAACATGATCAATTGTTCAAAACCTTTATTTCAGGAGGTCCATATTTTTAAATTTTATCCCATTATTATTAGATATATTAAAATTTAATTTAAATTTTATCTCATATTTTTCTCTACAATTACCAAATTCCCTTCCGATTCTAAAATTCATTTCTAACAATATTTTTTCTAAAATTAATCTCATCTTCTCCTGCCTCGTAGTTATTATTATTATTGGTGATGCTGGTGGGAGTGGTGCTATTATTATTGAATTAATAAATTTCATTTATTGGATATATTATTAATATTAATTTTAGTTTTGCTTAGTTTATTATTATATTTTTCGTTATAACATTTAAAAAAAATTTAATCGGAGCCTACTTTTAATTTTTACTCAGGGCCTTAAAAAAATTCAAGACCGCCCAAGCTCCCACCAAATCTTGATTGCACACATTCGAGGCTGGCTTCGGATAGCTCGTCATCCTTGAGGGCTGCTAATATGTGCTCATTGTATGACATATCAACATCATTTGCTCGTGCGTTTCCATTGCATTTCTTATTTCCTATGCGCGAACTACTCTCTGCATGCGGGTTGCCCGCTACGTGCAAGCCGCTTCTGGCATCCGAGCTGCTCACTGCATGCAAACTGGTCATTGTGAGTGAGTTACTTCCTGTGCACGAGCTGGTCATTGTGTGCAATTTGCTCGCTTCCAAATATTCCTTCGACCGCCACTCCTTTGGCCGTTCAATCGGTGCTGAAACTTATATGGCAGCGCTTCGGGATGTGCCAAGGGATTTGATTCTGTTTTGGACGTTCTTTCTTTTCCTAAATCGTGCTCCTCTTGCTCTTGGCCTCCAGTTTGTCGCCAACATCGCTGATATCTCTTTTTTGATAGAGACAACGGCATCAATTTTTCGGGAGTTTGATTGACTGTCCAACTACTGTCCTTTGTCGTACTCCGGGCTCGGCGAGTTGAATGAGGCATTATATAACAACCTAATCAATGAATGTAATTTTCCACACTTCGCCGTTCTTTTTAAAGATGACTTTGGCGACGGTATTGGAGGGGGCGAGTCTATCTCGAACATAAAGTTGTCACGAAGGTCGACATGTTTGCCTGAGTTGCTCGAGTACAAACCTCTGAGGCGTAAATGAAACTATTGATTATAAGTAAATATATGTATTTACAGTAGTATATCTAAATAAAAAATTATATTTATATAAAACGAATAATATATAATTCAAATAAAAGTATATAGTAAGTATAATATTAAAAAATAATTAATTAATTAATTAGTTGAATTCGAAATTGGATAATTCCGGATTCAAATAAGTAAAATCGTTTTTGATTTAATTTTGAATTTCACAATAGTCGAATACGGTCCGAATTACTAAATTACCGTTTTTAAATATTTACAAGTATCAAATAAAATTATTCAACGTGGTATTAAAATTATTTTAAATATTTACATATATCATATAAAATTGAAATCTAACGACATATAATTTATATTAACATAATATATAATATGTACAAATGTAATATATGATAGTAGTTCATATAAGTTAGTAATATTGATCTCGGGTTAATATATATTTCAATACAATACACTTATCGTGTTGTTTGATAACATTTATTGATAGGATCCTAAAGTTCCAAATATGGAGAACCACAAGATCCGAAGATGTAGCAGATTTGAACTTATAATCTCACAGTCACGAATCCATAGCATCAGCCATTCAC